GTACACCTGTTTAACTGGCTCACTTGTGTGGAATATTTTACTCCTTGCCGCTCAGGAAGATGCACTTCGACTTCGAAGGAAGCTCCCAGTTAGTCGACTCAATAGGGCACCGGAACCTATACGGAAAAGAAAGTGTCGATTTATTGCTTTTTATTTGAATAAGGACATATCATACAATGGAAATATGATTTAGGGTGTATCTGGGAGTCCATTTGGGAGAACAAAGAATAGACCCAATGTCCTCTAAAGGTAAAAAGGTAAAGTCGGGAGATGTGAACCAGCGTCACTGCACACGGTTATAAAACATAAGTGCTCTGCCACCAGTACGGACAGCTGATAAGAAACTGTCCACCTGTGTCGCCGTCAGCACGTAACTCCGTAGCTACAGCGATGTTCCTCCATTTACCCCAGAGTGTCAGCTCTGGTACCCATTTCCTAGACGCTGGGTAAACTCCGAGAACCGCCCGGTTTCGAACACTGGCCGTGGCTGCAGCGAGTCGTAGCTGGATTTGAAAGCGAGCCTCCTATCGACTGCGCTACTCCAATGTCCCTTAATGATCATGTCGTAGGCGGCAACTAATTAGGGGGGGGGGGGGGGTCCTTTTGCGTCAAAGCTCATTTGCCTGATAATCACTAAACTAATAGTCTGCATTCAAATAAACCAAATCAGTTAAACGGATGTTCATGCAAAACTCAAGCTCTAGATCAAGATTATAATCCTGCACTTGATGAGTAGCAGAAATTTTAGCCAGAGCTTACAGCAAGTAAATGATGAGAAAATGAGGAAGAATGAGGATCCTCGCTGGTCAAACAGAGTTCGTGCACTATGCTGAGATTCTTCAGACTCAGGCTTGAGATATAAAAAGAACGGAGCACTTATGATTTGCGGCGTCCGTGGCTAAGGCGTTGCGAGTCCGACTCGTAATCCAACGTACCGCGATCGAAACCCACTGTGGGCTGCGTGGATTTTTATCGTGGTATGGGACGTCGCAGGTCGACCTAGCCTCAAATGGGTACCAGGATGGGCTGTCCTGTGAAAGTAAAGACAGCTGACCACATTACCCACCGAGTGCTGATGGTCTGTAAAAATATGGGATGCTCTTCCCATATGCCCGATACGCCTAAAGGCGTGGAAAGGGATCTTTACTTTTTCTTTACTTTTTTACTTATGATTTACTCCAGTGTGCCGTGACGTTGATCCGTTGAATAAACAAAAGGGTGTTCAATGTCCAGTGGACAACTAATGGATTGGTGACCAATCATGTGGAAACAGCAGAGATGTGGTTTTATTGACGAATGATGAGAATACAATGGACAGAAAAAAGGAGCAATGGAGATGAACTGAAAGCAACTAACTCACGAAGAGAACTCACTGACCACATCAGAAAGAGACAATCTACATTCTTTGGTCATGCCATGAGAAGAAGCAAACACTAAAATTCGACTAACGTCGAACTAACCCCGAAAATTTAGACGAATACCAACAAAAACTGACCACCTGCGAAATGAGGTGTTCAAGAAAGGCCGCGAGCAAAACCAGATTATGTGAGAAACAAGAAAATGACTCCCATGGTGAAAATCAGCAACAGTGCTGACTGGTCCAAAGCGCGAAAAAGATCAGTTTATATTCCCCTCTCAAAAAAGGAAACCACAAATTATGTAACAAACATCGTACTATAGCTCTAATATTGTCGTGTCATTAAAATCTTTCAACAGAAAGAATCCAGAATAAATTGGAATATGAATTACAAGAAGTACAAACAGGTTTTAGACGGGGTGGAGAAACAAGAGACGATATTTTCAACATGAGCATCATCCCAGAGAAGTGTAGAGACTTCAAGATCTTCATACTTGTTTCATAGACTACTGCAAGGCATTTGACTCTGTGCAACATCATACACTCTGGCATAAAATGATGAGGATGGGATTTCCAAAACATCTAGTGCTCCTAATGGAATCTCTTCTCCATAAACAACAAGCAGCAGTCAGAGTAGCTGGTGAAACATCAATATGGTTTGAAGTGCAGAAAGGAGTGATACAGAGCAGCATTCTTTCTATGTCCCTCTTTAACATACATTTTGAAAATGTCATGACAAACGCAGTTAGCGATGACGCAAATGAGAGCTTTGATCCACTGACAATTTGAGGTATTCTTATCTCAGAACTCAGATATGCAAACTACACAGTTCTCTTTCTAACAGTGTACACAGTGACTCTTTTTCTGAATTTGAAATAAAAATGTGTCTCAGTAAATACAACACATCAACCACATATTACAATCGAACATGGAGAAATAGACAATGTCACAGATTTCGAATATCTGGGCTTTTTAGTTAGAAATAGTGGAGACTGCTTGAAGGAAGTCAAAAGAATATTTGCGGGAAAGATTTATATTTTTAGAAACACTTTTAAATGAAACAAACTAGTGCATTGCCCCAAAATATAAATAAACTTCACGAATTAGTAATTTATTTCTTAATACCTACGTTTGTATATAAACGAATGGGAAAAGCTTTATATATAAAAAAAAAATAAAATAAAAAAAAAAGAAGGACGAAGATTAATTA